TCCAACGAAGACAGCAAAGCAGATTAGTGATAAAAGGCACCTTCTAGTGAGAGGTCCTTTTGTAAATGATCATGAAGGACTAGTAGGTGCCACTGGGATTGAACATCTTCCCGAGTCTGCTAAGTTGCCCAAGGAGGGACAGTTAAAGCTCCAATACCGCGAGGTGATCTAAGCATGATTATTGGTTGGCAAATTCACCGTGTATCGGGAGGCCTTCAAGAAAATTCTTGATTGGCAAGATCCAGGTCAGGTGGTGAATGATGTGTATAATGAGTTTCTCGGTATTCTGAGGGAGCCTAGCCAAAGTAAATCTATCTGTAAGGGTCGAAAAAATCAGGCATCCCATGGCCAAAAAGCATCCAAAACTCCATCAAATTGGATGCACAAAAGAGCTATTAAGAGGGGAAAATTCTTGAGATTCCAACTGTTGTACGAGTTACATAGAAGGCGCCTCGCGCGTGTCTTCCTGGACGGCATAGAAGCCTCTCAGTGCCAATTACCATCAAGTGTTGTCCACCATCACTTAAGGAGTAGGTGGGATACATCTGGTATATTTGGTTGCCTACTGAAATTCCCTCCATATAAGGAGGCAGATAACACCGCATTCGAGGCCCTAATTACTAAAAAAGAGATTGATAAGAACATGAGAGAGATGTGTAAAACCTCCGCTCCTGGGCCAGATGGGATCACTTTGGGTGTGATTATTGCAAAAGACCTGAAGTTTTCCCAGTTGACTGAGATGCTCAACCTCTGGCTTATCACCGGTACTGTTCCAGATGCGCTGTGGGACTGCAGGACAGTCTTGATACCCAAGTCTTCGGATGCAGAGAAGCTTGGTGATATCAATAACTGGAGGCCTATCACTATTGGTTCAGTGGTGATTAGGCTATTTTCCAGGATCGCTACTGCGAGGCTGTCCAAAGCACGTCCCATCAACCCCCGGCAACGTGGTTTCATTTGCGCATCAGGTTGTGCCGAAAACCTCAAGTTGCTACAGCTTGTGGTGAAAACAGCGAAGCGAGAGCATGAACATTTGGGGGTTGTGTTCATGGACATTGCTAAGGCAATGTGTTAAGAGAGTTATAGTTACTCCCGCCGTTTACCCGCCCTTCATTGAATTTCTTCACTTTGACATTCAGAGCACTGGGCAGAAATCACATCGCGTCAACACCTGCCTTGGGCCTTTGCAATGCTTTGTTTTAATTAAACAGTCGGATTCCCCTGGTTTGCACCAGTTCTAAGCCGGCTGCTAGGCGCCGACTGAGGCGGGGGGCCAGCCCGGGGACCCCCCCCGGGGACCCTACCCCGCACGAACCGCTCGGCTGGGCGTGGCTGCACATGTGCCGGCTGCGCGCTGCGGGAAGCCCGCCAGCGGTAACAATGATGGTGGCCGCCGCTGGGTCGCCGGCCGCGGCAAGGCGGAGGGCGGGCGGAGCGGGGGGCAGGCGGCGCCCGTTGCAGCTGAGGCCATCCACGGGAAGGGCCCGGCGCGTGTCCAGAGTCACCACTGCACGCGCGCACGCCCGGCGCCCGGGGGGACAACGCGGAACGCACCCATCCGCGCGCGGCACCTCGTCCAGCCACGGCGCGCATCCAGCCACGGCGCAGGCCCAGCCCCGCTCTGCGCCCCAGCCTGACCGACCCAGCCCTTAGAGCCAATCCTTATCCCGAAGTTACGGATCCGGCTTGCCGACTTCCCTTACCTACATTGTTCCAACATGCCAGAGGCTGTTCACCTTGGAGACCTGCTGCGGATATGGGTACGGCCTGGCACGAGACATACACCCTCTCCCCTGGATTTTCACGGGCCAGCGAGAGCTCACCGGACGCCACCGGAACCGCGACGCTTTCCAAGGTGCAGGACCCTCTCTCGGGGCGAACCCATTCCAGGGCGCCCGGCTCTTCACAAAGAAAAGAGAACTCTCCCCGGGGCTCCCGCCGGCTTCTGTGGGATCAGTTGCGTCACCGCACTGGGCGCCTCATGGCACCTGTCTCCACCACTCCGGATTCAGGGATCTGAACCCGACTCCCTTTCGATCGGCTGAGGACAACGGAGGCCATCGCCCGCCATTTCGGAACGGCGCTCGCCTATTGCTTAGGACCGACTGACCCACGTTCAACTGCTGTTCACATGGAACCCTGCTCCACTTTGGCCGTCAAAGCTCTCGTTTGAATATTTGCTACTACCACCAAGGTCTGCACCTGCGGCAGCTCCACCCGGACCCACGCCCCAGGCTTCGAGGCGCACCGCAGCGGCCCAACTTGTCGCGGCCTAGCCCCCGCGGGCATCGCACTGCCGGCGACAGCCAGGTATGGGCCTGACGCTCCAGCGCCATCCATTTTCAGGGCTAGTTGATTCGGCAGGTGAGTTGTTACACACTCCTTAGCGGATTCCGACTTCCATGGCCACCGTCCTGCTGTCTAGATCAACCAACACCTTTTCTGGGCTCTGATGGGTGTCGGCATTGGGCGCCTTAACCCAGCGTTCGGCTCATCTTGCAGCGTCAGTTCTGCTTACCAAAAGTGGCCCGCTGAGCACTCGCTTTCCATGGTGCAGCTCCACGCCAGCGAGCTGGCCCCCTTACTCATTGAAAGTTTGAGAACAGGTTGAGATCGTTTCGGCCTCAAGACCTCTAATCATTCGCTTTACCGGGTAAAACTGCCCATTGCCGAGTGCCAGCTATCCTGAGGGAAACTTCGGAGGGAACCAGCTACTAGATGGTTCGATTAGTCTTTCGCCCCTAGACCCAGGTCAGACGACCGATTTGCACATCAGGACTGCTACGGACCTCAACCAGAGTTTCCTCTGGCTTTGCCATGCCCAGGCATAGTTCACCATCTTTCGGGTCCTAGCACGGACGCTCACTCTCCACCTCCCCGGCCCCGCGAGGGGGCGGCGGGCGAGACGGGCCGGTGGTGCCCCCGGGGCTGCCCAGCGCGACATGCGCCCCGGGATCCCACCTCAGCCGGGGCGCGCCGGCCCTCACCTTCATTGCGCCGCGGGCTTTCGACAACGGCCCCTGACTTGCGCACGTGCTAGACTCCTTGGTCCGTGTTTCAAGACAGGTTGGGTGGGTAGCCGACGTCACCATGGACTCCGGGCGCCCCCACGCGGCCCATGAGCCTGGCCCGGCGGCGCCGCGCGGTCAGGGCGCACTGAGGACAGTCTGCCCCAATTGACAGCGGCGCCATGGGCCGGCAGGCCCGGCCCCCACACCCCTGTGAGAAACACCACGCTGCGAGGATGCCGCCCTCCCGTGAGAGGGGGGGAAACAATGCCCCCTGCCACGGCGCCGTCGACAGGGTGGGAAGAGGGCGCGGTGGCGGTCCTTTCCCTCGGCCCCGGGATTCGGCGAGACCTGCTGCCCGAGGGCTGTAACACCCGCCGCCACTCTTTGCGCGGCGCTGGGCCACCTGCCCACCGGTGGCTTTCACAGCCGACCCGGATCCGGTCACGGTGCACAGCCGTGGAGGAAATGTGCCCAGCCACGATCACCCACCGGCTGGGCAGCGGTCCCCACACTGGCCCGCCCCGCCCAGCCCGCCCCCGCGGACGGGGTTCGCCTGGGGGACGGAGGGGAGGCGGAGGCGAGGATCTGCCCAACCCGAGCCGGCCAACTGCAACTCGCCGGGTTGAATCCTCTGGGCGGACTGCGCGGGCCCCACCCGTTTACCTCTTAACGATTTCGCGCCCTGTTGAACTCTCTCTTCAAAGTCTTTTCAACTTTCCCTTACGGTACTTGTTGGCTATCGATCTCGTGCCGGTATTTAGCCTTAGATGGAGTTTACCACCCGCTTTGGGCTGCATTCCCAAGCAACCCGACTCTGAGAAGCCCTGGCCCCGGCGCGCTGGGGGGCCGCTACCGCCTCACACTGTCCGCAGGCTGCGGCCTCGATCACAAGGACTTGGGTCCCCCAAGAGCACTGCCAGGGAAGGGGACTTCTGTACGCCACATGTCCCGCGCCCCACCGCAGGGCGGGGATTCGGTGCTGGGCTTTTCCCTCTTCGCTTACCGTTACTGAGGGAATCCTCATTAGTTTCTTTTCCTTTGCTGTCTAATATGCTTAAATTCAGTCACCATGTCTGATCTGAGGTTGCAAGCCGAAAGCTGGGCCACACCGCCCGGCCCATGCTGCTCCTAAAGAAACGGCATGCCAACAGGCCAACAGCCAGCCAGCTTCTCCCACCTACTACCCTCACCTTCCTCCCCACTGGCGCCCGCGCGCCAGGGGAAAACAAAGCCAGAGGGAGAGAAGCGGAGACGGAGAGCCCCATCCCAGAGATGAGAACCGAAAAGGGAGTGTGGCAGAGACAGCCCTGATGGGGGATCAGCCGAGTGGCGGCATGTGATGGCCTTGGTGGAGGGAGAGAGAAAAGCCATGGTGCTATTTGCACCCCGAGACCACGACCGAAGAGGAGGAGGGCAGGCGAAAGGAGGAGGGGGTTGGAACATCTGTCCCCAGTGCTCTTACTTCGCGCGTTCGGCAGCACAGCAGCCCGGCACGGTACCGCCCTGGTACCCACCTGCAGACAGCCGCCCACGCGGTGGGGAGGCTGGGAGTGAGGTCTGCGCCTCATCTCCCTCTTGCCCTCTCCGTTCTCTTGGCCCATGGTGGTGCTTTCAACGCCATCTCTCACTCTCCTCAGCTGCCACCACCACCGTACTGCAGCACGGGCGCTGCAAGGACAAACTCTGCCCCAGTGGCTCACTCCAGGAGTGGGGAGCTACGGAGCAGTCCCTGAGTCTGCATATAGGGAGATGAAGGCCCTGCGCGGCAACAATGATGATGACGGCCATGACGAGGATGACGCCTGCTGAGTCACAGGGAAAAAATTGAGGCCGCCGAGGGAAACGCATCCCTTGCCAAACCCCTGACCGCCTTCCCTCCGGGCACCGGCCAGCCACCATCACCACCACCGCTGACCACAGTCAACTTGCCTGCGAGGTGACCCCAGCCGCACCACCGTGGTGGCCGCCGGATGGCGACTCATCATCAAGCAACGCTCAGACGGTCGTAGCCCTGGGAGGAACATGGGGCTGCAAGTGTGTTCAAAGTATGGATGATCAATGTGTCCTGCAATTCACATTAATTCTTGCAGCTAGCTGCATTCTTCATTGACGCACAAGCCGAGTGATTCACTGCTAAGAGTTGTCTGGCTTTCAGCACCGATCCTGCACCCGTGGAGGGGCTGGGACAGCTCACATGAAGTGGCCCCTTTCTCTTGTGCTGAGGACATGCAGGCGCGTGCCTGGCTTTGACTGTCCTTACTTGATAGTCAGGATTGCAGACATAGGAGATCCAGCCACACTGAACTGGAATTCTTCCTCAAACCTCCACACTATGGTGGCACTGAAGGAGATCTGAGCAGTCTGGGTACCACCTGGTGCAATGATGCCCTCCTCAGGCACAAACTTGAAGCAGAAGCCCACGTTTGCAGTTGAAGGGCTATAGGTGAAGGGAGCATCAATAGCTCCTAGGTTAATCAGTTCCACCTGCAGCAGCAAGAAAGCAAAGCGGAAATACATGTGGAATCTTCCCTTCTTGTGAGTTATTGTCTAATGATGCAATTAATACCCAGAAATAGCAGCCGATGCTTTGAATGGCAAAAAAAATACAACAGGACAAGTTCTGCCTTTAGGTTTTCATGCAAAGCAGCAGCAACTCCACAGAACTGGAGTCCACAACCCTGGGGTTATCCCATGGACACAGAGCAGTGCACCTCTGGTCAGCATCACCAAGTTCATTCAGACCTGGCCCTGAGAGCAACGTGCGTAGGGAATCACCCCAGAGCTGCTGCTGCCCCACTGAGCACAGCTCCAACAGCACCATCTACTCATCCACCTTTTCCCATGTCATGAAAACAATACATTGATTATGAGGCATCAGCATCAAAATGTATAGACAGCATCATCTTTTGGTAAGAAAACTCAGCATGTCTTTGCATCCCACAGCCAAGCTTTTGGAAGTGTCTGGCATGATGTAGTGCCTCATTTTCTACCTCTTTCAGCTGCTCTCTCTTTGGTTTTTTTTGCAAACTTGACACTATTGAGGAGGAGGCAAATAGGTAGAAAAATGCTTTGCTTTATTCCCAGGAACACTTTTCTCTTTCTAGAGCCAGAGATGCACCAAGGCTGAAGTGTGGTGAGGGACTGGTCAGCAAGGGAAAGAACTCGCAAGTCCTTTGCAAGGGCCAGCACTGAGCCAGGAGGCTGGATGGCTTTCCTGTGACTTGCAGCAATAAGCAGGAGACACTTGACTGGAAGCTGTCTGCAGTGGACTGAAGCTCAAAGGCAGCCAGTTTCTTCCAGCTGCTTCTGAACAGCCCAGTCCAAAGGTGCCTTGTGTCTGGCACTGCCACAAATGCCCCCGAACATCCCTTTTTGACCCAGGCTTTGTTTCATGTGCCAAGGGGTTGTTTTGCAGCAAGCCTCCCAGCTGATTCCCAAAGAAGGAACTGGGGCTTCATGAACAACAGACACACCTTTCAGACCCTCTCAGATTTCACCAGTACATCAAATATTCCCTGCTCACAAGTGCCCAGGTCGGCAGCAATTCCACACTTCCACCAGGCTTGCTCCTCCCTCAGGAGCCATCAGTATCCACCCCAAGCCCTTCTACTCACCTCATAGACATGGGGGGTGCCAATAAAAATGTTCCCAATGTACAGAGTAGGAGAGCTGAATTCTACTAAGGGTCCTTGGCCTTCCCCTGAGAGGTGCAGGGGCAGCCTGCTCTCACAGCCTGGGGAGAGATGTCCATTGCAGTACAATCATTCCCTCTGTTATACTGTATTTTCCAGGCTGCCTCAGTGCTAGTCCCTGACTCTGAGCTGAATGCAACCAGCTCCTGATGCTGCAGGAGAGGATATGGACCCTCCTCTTCCCTCAGCCTTGGGGCTGACTTCTAATTTCTAACCCATTCCTTGGGCTGCTTTCCAATTTCAGCCACCAGTCTGCTGAGTTTAAAACATCTCTGCTGCCTTGTAGTGACAGGCCAAGGAGTTACAGGTATAAATTGAAAGAAAGGAAATTTAGCTTTGATATTAGGAAGAAATTCTTTACTCTGAGGGTGGTGAGACACTGGAGCAGGTTCCCCAGGACTGTTGTGGAGGTTCCAGCCCTGAAAGTGTTTCAAGCCAGGCTGGATGGGGCTTGGAGCTACCTGCTCTAGGGGGAGGTGTTCCTGCCCAGAGGCTTTTAAGGTCCATTCCATCCTTAACATACTCTGGTTCTATGCTGTCCTTCCCATGCACTTAGTGGAGCTTTGAAATCATTTAGTGAAGGCACAAAGCTCCTACAGAGTTTGGCAATTCCCAAACTACCTGGCCCAGGAGCACAGGACATTTTTGCCAAAGTCCCCAACTCCTGACACTCAGCACTGCGTTCTGTTTCCACAGACAGAGCTGCAAGGGCTCAAATCCCACAAAGGGAGAGAGGCAGGTGCTGGCCAAGGCTGCTCCTTCTACCAACAGCCTGGGCTCAGGGGGGCTCAGTCACCTCTGCTCTGCTGCTGTCTGGGCACTGGGAGGTGATCCAGGCTCAGGGAACACAATTCTAACTCAGCTCCTGCTGCCTGATGATGGATCCATGTCAAATGGACCCATCATCCTGGAGGCCAGGGGCCTGCAGGGGCTGAGTGCTTGTTCACTAAAGCTGTTCTGCTCTGCAGCTCTCTGGCCTTTGAGGGAATGCTGACAAAGCCATGGCATGAAAACCTCTCCCTGCATTGCCTGGGCTGTTCTGGGATCAGTCAGGCACACACAGCATTCTGAGCCCTGGCCTGGCACAGGAGACTCCCTGGGACCTGCAGGGCCAGGGGGGATGTGCCAGCACTGCCCTGCTGACCAGGGACTCTTCCCAGCATTTCCATGGGAGCCCAGTGGGCTCAGGCTTGCATCATGGCTTCACTGAGGGGGAGAGAAGCAGGGCAAAGGAGCTGTACCTGAGATGCTGCAGTAAGCCACACTTCCATACTCCAGTGCTTCCAGGGGTTTGAAGGTCACCTTGATTTTGGCCAAACAATTCAGCCCAATTTCTCCCTCCTACAGCAGAAAGAGACAGCAAAACAGTTGTTTTCAAACTTCACATTTCTTGTTTTCAACCACACTTCTGTAAGTCTCTGTTTAGAGCATTAGTAATGAGTGACCAACACAAGGAGCCCAAGGAAACACTCCAAACCCAGCTCAACACAGCGCTGGAAGCTCTCAATGCTCAGCTGTTCAGCTCCCACTCTCCACAATACTCCTGCTGCTCTGACAAAGGCTCTTGGTCACATCATGCTGCTGTCAGCTACAGTGGGATGCAACTGCCACTGTGCACTGGTGGCTCTTCACAAGAAGAGAACATGATCCCTGTCCTGGGTTGACTATATGATGCTTTTATCCCAAATCTCTTGTTCTGTTTATGCTGAATAATAAGTGTTGCACCTTTAAGACTTGTTACAGAGAGTGAAGGGGGGAGAGAAGAAGCAGCAGTTTGTTTTCAGACACTGCATTCACTCCTCCACACTCCTGCTCCTGGACTGCATTGTTTGCGGATGGACAGACAGCGGGACAGAGCTCTCCTCTGCTTTTAGTTAATTTAGCTTGCTGAGGCAAAGAAGTTCCCTGGACTGTGGGGTTTTTTTCCCTTTTCTTTGGACGTGTTCAAAACTGCTGTGGACTGAACACCAGAAGAGCACCGGCAGCTCCACCTGTGGCCACCGGGCCGGGCCTGGCCTGTGACATTTCCAGGACCAGAGGGACTGATCAGAGACTGAGTGAGCTGAGCTGCAACCTGGGGAGGGACTTTCTCAGTTTGTCATCTCTTTTGGAGCAGCAAGGGGTTTTATTGATTAATACTGTTTAGGGTTTATTGTTTAATAAACAGGTTTTTTCCACTTCAAGGAGGTCTTTTCTCCAGGACCAGTTGGGGGAGGGGCTGATTGAATCTGCTTTCCTAGAGGAGCCCCTTTGGGGGTTCTCTCCCAAATTTGCCTGGAACCAGAACCTTGGAAATAAAAATATTAGTTTAACCTGTTTTGAAAGAAAGCAGAGGCTGGCATTATTCTAGAGTTTACTCCAAGATGAGAAGGGATGTTGCACTGTGCAGACACCAGGCCTTCATCGTCTCTCACAATGCCAGTACTCAGAATCAGGGCTCTAGTTGATACGAGGACGTGGTGGTTTGCTTGCAGAAACAGAAAAGGAAAAGGTTTTCCGTCCCTGTGTGCAGGACAACTCCAAAGGCCCATTTCAACCTTCCACCCTTGTGTGCAGGCTCACAGAGGACACTGGAAGGGACACTCAGAAATAGTGCAAGGCGTGGTTACAGGAGGGGATTGGCATTTCCATGATTAGTCTTAGGCTGAATTTGGCCTCACTTTCCCAGCAAACCATTGCAAGCTTCAGGTCAGAATGTGGCCTGGCAGTGCTCCAACAGCCTCTGCTGAACCTCACGTGTGGGGGGAGCCCCTACCTACAAGAACTGCTCCCTGTGGACACTGCAAGGACACGCACAGAGTGCCCTTGAGCTCAGGCCCTGGCAGCACAGCTTGGCCTTGTCAGGCTCCCAACCCTGCCTTGAGCCTCCAGGGCAGAAATGCTTTTAGCATTTGGCATTTTTAGGCAAGCTCTGCAGGTGCACCAGAAACTCAATGTCTTCCCTCCCAGCACATTGAGCCAGCTGAGGATCTGCCCAGCGACTGCAGCCGGGGGTAGAGTGGGTGGGAGAAGGAAGAGGGGGAGGAGGATGAGGAGGAAGAAGAGGAGGAAAATGAGGTCTCAGCTATCACTTACCATTGGCTCAATGAAAAAAATGTCATCAGAGAACAGCATGGGGTCTTGGTGCAACTTTGCCTTCTCCCCCAGGAGCCTCAGGAGGGCAGTGTGATCTTCACAAGAGCCCTTCTCCTTCCCTGTTTCTTTCCCCTCCATTAATTTTTCCAGCCACAGCTCTCTCCATATCTGCAGGAATCGATGCTGCCTGCAGCCACAGGAGAGACAAAGCCAGCAGACTGTTTAATAAGCCACAGATTGGCAGAGAGAAGTGTGAGTGCAGGAGAGCAAAGCACTTGGGGAGGAGCAGCAGTGTGAGAGATGAGTAATGCGATGATTTATCAAAAAGCAGGATGCCCCAACACAGGGAACGATTGGCAGCTGACTCCATTGATTCACAAGGCTGAACAGTTGCTTTATTAAACTATATTATATTACATTGTACTACACTATATTAAAGAAGCATACTATACTACAAAGAATACTAAAGAATACTAAAGAAAACTTGTGACTGTCTCCAGACAGCCAGGACAAAGCTTTTTCCAATTGGCCAAGGAAACAAAACAATCCTCAGCAGAATCCAACTGACAAATCACTTCAGGTATATAATCTTCCTAACACATTCCACATGATAGAGATAAGAATTGTTTTCTTTCTTTTCTCTGTGATTCTCCAGGAGAAAAAACCTTGAGAGAGAGAATTATGTGTTTCTGTTCAGAGAATGTGAATGCCACCATGATTGACTCTCACAATTAACAGACAAATACCATGTATAGAGGTTAAGAAAAATTTTTTTACCCCCGCAGTTGTTATCAAGGGACAGCCAGGGTTGGGATATTTGGGAGGGTTGGCTTGTCACTACGGTGACATCTGACCTCCAATCAAGATTTGAGGAAGTAAACTCCACCACTGGACAGTGAAGAAGGGGTCAATGGACAGAATTTTGGGAGGGGCTAAAGGGTTAAAAGGCAAAACCTTTCTGTGTGGGAGAGCACATGGTGCGGAAAATCCTTTGCTCCTGGCGCCATAACATTTTCTCTATTCAGTCTTCTGTTGCATCTTTAATAAGGTTTAATAAACTTCTCTCAACTTATGAAAAGGGAGTGGCTATTTCTCCCAAGCAGCAGCTCCCCAGCAAGGGCTGACCCCAAGCCATGGGGGTCCCAGATGGATCAGAGCATAACTTGTTGTTCACTGGCCCAGCAGGGAGTTTTACTCGACACCTGCAAGCTCAGGAGAGGTTTCCAGAGCCAGCAGCCCTCAAGAGAACCTCCTGGCTCAAAGCCTCTGCCAAAAAACTGAGGGAGAATCCACCAGCCACTTCAAGTGGCTTTTCCTACCACTGAGCTGCTGGGGAGGCAGATAAAGGTCATGGAGCAGGACTTCCCTGGGAAGAGGAGACAAAGTTGGGTCGCAGCTACGTGCTACCAGCACTGTGAAAAATGCACATTATATGATTGGCTTTTTGCATATATGAAAATAAAACAGTGGTCTGTTCTGTTCCAGTCTCTATGCAATATTGCATAGGGAAATGTAAGATAACAGCAATTAGAAATCAATCAGATAATGCACATAACCAATGACACATCTGCAATCACACCATTATCAGTTACTACAACACTGAACTGTCATCCCAGAGTCTGCGACCGCTGATGAACTTTAAAACAACAGAGAGCTGGAGAATTCGTGTCAAGATTCATGTTTCTCCAAACTCCCTTTGAAATCAGGCTCAGCTATCATACATGGTCAAATTGCCAAGCCAAAAGAACTTGAATACTTTTTGATGCAGAAAACATCTGGGCTGATTGTCAATCATTCCATTCAAGTAGAGCTAGAACTTGGCCAGAGTTCAATCTCTAATTGATGGACATCACTTAATACATTTTAAAACAAGACTCTTAAAAACAGCAATTATGAATAGGAAACCTGAGGATTAAAGATCAATCAAACCATTAAAGAATTGAATCCCTCCGAAACTTCTGTCAGAATAGAAATTCTTTAAACACAGCAAACCTCTTGAATTCTCGGATGAAGTACTCTACAATAACTGAAGAAATAATAACTGAAGAAAACCATGAAACTGGCAATCTGGATTTAAAAGAAACCTAAAAAACATGAGTAGTTTAAGAAACAAAAAGACAAGATTCTGAAGAGACACGTGTCTTGTAGATGATCACACAGAGACAGTGAAACACATGAAAGCTGGCTGTAAATATTACAACAATACCTTGATCATAATTCTTATAAATTCTGAGAATTCTCCTTATAAAATCAACTTATCAACAGGAAGAGTTTGAAGGGGTTATGACAACTTTTTTAAAGTATTAATATAGGATTAGTAACAATCCTTATTTATCAGTATCACCTATAAAATCCAAAAATAACAAAGGTTACAAACTTAATACCAACAAAACTCTGGACCATTGGAGAATCAGCTGGTGACCCCACAGATAGGATGTGATTGATATTTCTCAAATGCTCTGCTTTCAGAGACATTTCAGGTAATTGAATCATTACTAATACTTCTATCTTTCTATGGTGGTTTCCCTCCCTGGGAGGCAATTTTTCACAACAGAAGATTTCCATCTACCTCATATTTGGAATACCCCTGATTTGCACTGGTTTCCCCTTTTTTCTGTATCTTGGGAAAAGGCCTGTGTGCTTTCTCACTTTACACTGATTTTGGACAGCTTTTTTACATGTCCATCTTTTGCATCTGAAGCCTGATCATCTGGTAAATGCTGTTTCCGTCACTTCTGTGGGACAGGGCTGTTGAGGAGTTCGGTGCGCCTCACACAACATGCGCTGCACCCGCGAAAAATCTCCCGCTTGAGATTTTGATGGAGGCTGAAACTGTGTGCTGGCTACCGGGGCTGGCTGCGTGCCCGCTGCCGTGGGACCGGAGCAGGGCCGGTCCCTCGGGCACCTTCTGCACCCAGACCGCGCCCGGTCTCTGCTGGTGCCCTCACAGGAGTGCGGATGCCCCCGCCCCGACCGCGCCTCCCCGGCGCTTCTCTCGGCGCAGGCGCGGTCTGGGGAACGACCGACACCGGCGCTGCCCCGGTCCCGTTCTGGCTCCGGTCCCCGCTCGGCCGCGTCCGTGCCGCGTCTGCGCACTGGGGAAAAACCCGCCCCGCTCCGGCTGCCGGGTTTGTGCGTCATCACCGGGCGCCTGCCGCGCTCCGTGGCGGTCGCAGGGACGCTGCAGCCGTCCCGTCCTGTCCGCCTCAATCCCGCCCGGCGCGGCTGCCGCGGCCCGTGCGCGTTCCCCGGGTGCCGCTGCCCGCCGCCACCGCAGCCGCGCGGTTTCTGCCCTTCGCGCGCGGCTTTGGCGCCCCCTGCGTGAAACCGCCGCCGCCGCCATCGCGCATGCGCCCGCCGCTGCCGCCAGCCCCGCGCCTCCCGCTCCCGCGCTCCGCCCGGCGCGGCCCCGCTCGGCGCTGTCCCCGCAGCCGCCGGCCGTGCCCTGCACGCTGCCGACCGCCCGCTGCTGCGATCGCGGGCACCGCCGTGCGCGCTATCGCCTCCGTCGCTGCTGTGCCTGCGACTGCCCCGCTGCCCCCGTGGGCCCCCGCCGGCCTCCGCAGCCCCCACGGCCGCCTCTGCGGCCCCCCCGGGCTGCTCCTGGCCGGCGCCGCCGTGGCATGGGTTCGCCAGTCGCCGAGAAGCGGCTCTGCCCCGGGTTCCCCGACCCCCTCCGCCCTCCTCCCCCTGAGAGTTCTGGGCGTTCTGGGGACCCATGGAACCCTGGGCACTCTGGAGATGATGCCAATTCCTCCCACACCTGTTTGCTAGGGATTACCTTTGCCCCTCCCTGGTCGGTAAGGGCAACTGCCGCCTGCTGATGGCAGGATGACTTCCCCCATCCTCGAGAGAATACTGCTGCCTGCTGATAGCTGGCAGCCCCCGCGGAATTCCACGAAATTGCCTCTAACATTACCCTTGCTGGGGATAAAGGCTTCAAGGCCGTTTTATCTTTTTTCAGAGATTTTCACAGGGTGTGTGGCTGCCATGCCCTGTAGGGCTGACAAGATGCTGGGTTGTTCCTGGGAGCATGTCCCCCCCATGTTCTCAATTTTGACTTTTCTTACCAAAAGCTGAATCATCTGCAAGGTCAGTCCGGAGTTTGCCCTGGTCACCGTCCAGCAGCTCGCAGGTGAGGGTTTCCAGGCATGCTTCTGGTCCTCCTCTTCCTGGGTCAAGCTTGAAATGAATCTTCTCAGCAGAGATCGAGATGCTCTTTCTGGATTTTTCCCTTGAGAGTGCCTGTTTCCTTTCCTTCTCGGGCTGGGTTTCAGCAGCTGATGGCTGTGGTGTGGCTGCTTGCCAAGAGCCCACCTGGGTGCCCTCTTGGAGCCCACCAGGGATGCCAATGTCTCAGGGTCTCTTGCTGCTCAGAGTGACCCCAAGAAAAGTTCAAAGTCTCTTTTCCCAGCCCGGTGCTTGAAGAAGGAGTCAGGGCTCTTCATTTCTCAGTCTCAAGGTTGTTTATTTTATCTTATCTATAAAAAATTTTCTCCTGCCCTGCCGAGGTCAGCTCAGCAGGACAGTCTGAGGCACTCTGCCTGCCCCCGGGGCGGTGTTATGTCTTTATACTAAAAACTACGTGTACAATGTTTACAATTACTTTCCAATACCTATCACCTATGTTAGACAGTGAGCTTCTACTCTAAACCAATCAGTAAGTGCCAACATCACAGCAGAAGATGGAGGCCAAGAAGAAGAAGGAGAAAGGCTGGACACACCCAGTTCCCTCCATCTTGCCTCCTGAACCCCATACCAAAAACCCCAAAATCTACTTTTCCATCCCATGATAACTTCACTAATATTCTGCTTAAACTGTTGTGGCCTGCTGATCTTCATATAAGGTCCGTAATTTGCTCCACGGGTCATAATCAAATCCACTGGTGTTTTGGGCTCCGTGCCAGGGCTTCTGAGCCCCCTGGCAGGGGTCCTGGCCATCCTGGACTGCCAGAGGCATGTTCTGGGTTCCCACAGGTCTCTTCTTAGGTCTTCTACAGGTTGGTTTTTTGTTTCCTCTCCTTCTGCTTGTGCTGGGAAAAAGCCCCTGCTGGGACATCTCTGCACCCTGGCATCCTGGGCATCTGCATAGGGATGGGCAATGTAACAAAGGACTGGCTGGAGGCCTTTGGAAATGGGAATTTATGGACAGGTGGGATTGCTCAATCTGACTGCACTGGGCCCTCATGCAGGACAGAGCTCTGGATCTCCTTCCTGCTTGGCAGGGTTCAGTTTCCAGGTAGTGTGGGCAAGGACTGGCACTCACCTGCACAGAAAGGCTTCTGCCTTTTGTCACTGTAGCTAAACCCAGGGTGAGATTCCTCTTTTAGTGCTCAAAGAAAGGAAAGGAAATCCCAGAAGGGATGTGCTGTGTCTTTGAAACCATTACCAACTGTGAGGAACACCCCTGCTAGAGTAGAACATGTCCCTGGTCAAAGGAGGTCACCCCTCTGACCAAACTGATCCCAGCCCAAAGGCCAGGCCTTCTGCTGGGCTCTGGAAGGGGTTCTGCAGGCAATGTGCTCAGGGGAGAGATCTCCACTGGCCTCACTTCTCCCAGGGACAACACATCCCATCCCATCCCA